AAGTTTAAAGAGAAGAAAATGAAAAGACATCTAAAAGCTGAGTTTCTGATTAAAAAAGACAGATTGAATTAAAAAAATTTACGAACCACTTCAAAGGCATCTCGACTAGAGTTATCGCTACTTGATGATGAAGAAATTGATGATGCCTTCGGCCTATACAAACTTTCAGATTGATTGTAATTTGAAAGCAGTAAGACCTGTGTAGGACCATCCGCCACAACTTCAATAGCCAAAATGTGACTTCCACCATTAGACTATGCAATATAAAGAATGTTACATGAAATATAAAACTGGTACAGAAACAAATTAAGCTAAGCATATAATTACAGAGCATTTAAATGGCACAAGTGACCCGATTTCTTGAATGTTAACTACTCGCTCATTGTTGTTAACCTTTAACACCAATCTCTTTTCTTTAAGAGCCGGATAATCCCATGAATATGGAGAAGCATTTTTGGGTTCGAGAGTAAACTTTTTGGGTGAAGATGGCTGTGTACTTTCACGGCGACTCGGCTCCTAAAATAAAGATAATGGAATTTATTGGTGATCCGAAATAATAATAAAAATTGTTAATATATTATTGGTAACATCTCAATTGTTTTTTGATAAATTATATGCATCGTGACAATTAATGCATTTCAAAATGATCTCAAAAATTACCTGTTGGTAGAAGACTACTACTACATCAGAATAATTTTCGACTCTAAAAGGCCATATTCCTTCTTCTTTGTTGAATATTACAAATATGGTGGCGTCTTCAAGTAAGATTTCAGTTCGAATTAAATCAAGTTCATGATCAGATTTTTCTAACTTAAGGTGAACTCTTCCAAGTTCATCGATATTTATCGGAGCAGACCTAATCAATTTCACAGATAATTAGCTCTGCAAACATTTTTGCAAAACATGTATTACTGCCAAAAAGATTACCTACCATGAAGTTGAATTGTGGTAACGTATTACCAATTGTCTAGCCGCATCGTGCTTTAAGAAATGAAGTGGCACTCGATCCTTGGATTTAACACATATTTCTCCTTTTAATTCTGGCTCGCGGAAAATAATGTCTTCATTTAGATTGTTTTTTATAATAAATCGTGGTGTGAATGTAACTATTTTTGTCAATTTATACTGTAAGTAGATAAAGAAAATTTTAGATCTGAAATTCTAGAGTAATCGGTAATGAATAGAGTTTATTATTATCCTTACTTTTTGATGACCTTCTTGGACGCTCACGCCCAAGTGAATTTCTTCCGCATTTGAAGTTGATGGAATCACAACTTCTAAGAATGTTCCAACAGCCTCAAAGCTTTGAGGCTAAAAACAATGTACAAATAAATACAAATGATGAAAATTAATAATATAAAAATATTGTAGCACAACATACCCTACTCCATTCTGAGTCTCCTACTTTCAAAAGAGCGCGATTTTGATTACTATCATCGGCGTAAGAAAACATATATGGCGCTACCTATAATTTAAATGTTAATAAACTTATTACTGTGGAATTCTTTCACTAAATAAAATGCACTAACTTGTGGACTTTTCTCCTTGCTTGATACGAATCCTAGTGTTTGAAAGATTTATTTTGTAGATATTAATTCGAATCGGTAAAACTAACAGAGCATAATGATTACTAACCTTGACCGGCTGCATCCTTGGCGGATTGAAATAGAGATTTTGATCTAAAGGCCATATCCAAACCAGTTTTGTTTATCATCACGTAAGGACTATAAATACTGAACTTAAACGCGCCTCCAGAATCAGGGATCTCACTATAAAACAAAATTCAGCATACATTAAAATATAACCTCATTATATATAAATATGCAAATTAGAGGCTTGTGAAAATTACTAACTAGTAATGTATACGAAGATTTAATTTCAAATTTTTATCATCTGTGATAGGCATTGTCTTTTCAACTTGATACTCAGACTTATTTGGTGAATTAATAATAGCCCAATCGGATTCCTTGAAAGCTTTCATTGACAAATAGCGTCAGTGAGTAATTCACTTTTGCATTATAATTAGAACAAAAGCAGTTCAAACCTGTATTTATTATCTTTTCTATCTTCAACAATAATAAGTGGTCTAATTCAATAAGATGAAGCGAAGTGACTTGTCCCTTTTCTAGCCGATTTCCTGGCAAATCTTGCTTGATAGTATTATCATTTATTCGAAACATAATATCGTAAGGTAACAAATTTTCGACTTGAATCGGCGCATTTAGACTGATGGACATGCAAGGATACTCTCTATAATGACAAGGCTTAATTAGTTAATGCTCTAGATGAAATATAGACAATCATTAATATCAAAAATTATATAATTCTTGCTTTGTAAGGGGATTTTTCTTTTGGTATCGAGAAAACAATTGAAACCGAAATGGGACATTATCCTGAATAGGATGGCATGAAACTGAAGTTACAGGATCCTTTTTCAAGAAATCTTTCCAGTAGAGACTCTGGAGGCTCCAATTATATCCAAACCCGCCTGTCAAATGACAAAGTAATATTAGTAAAAGTTGCTAAAAATAAGTTGTTTTTTTTTTAGCAAAATTCATGATATCCGCACCCTCAGGCCTAATTTTGAATCTATGATAATATGCGGCTTCGATTGGAATTGGGCAATCCTCTCCAGATCCTACAATTATTATTGTCATTAAGCGTTACATACTAGATGCGTGTGATTATGAATATATATATTAGTAGTAATATTATTACCTATTTGATAAACTTTTGATACATGATTGCCAGAATTATCAACAACTAATAATTCTACAGTCAAGTTTGTACGGTTCTCAACGACAAGTGCCGATCGGAAAGTAACAACCTTAATATTATCCTCTAGTTTTACATCAACCACCAATCTGTGATAAATCTCATTTAATTTGGGACGTAAAATATAACTATTCTCTCCTTCTCTATCTACAGGAATATCTTTAATACATTCCCAATTGGAACCTTCAAATTGAATTCCGAGCATGTTTTTTGTCACAGCCATCGACTATGCGTAAATTAAAATCAAATTATATTGTAACCTAACGTAAATGCTCAAATTCACATGTCAAAGCAATACAAACCTCACGCATTTTACGCCAATCATCAAACCTCCAATCTAATTCCTGACCATCATTCATTACTTTTAATTCAGTGTCCTTAGCATCATCAGATGAAATTGCCCAAACGTTCATATTATAACCAGTTTTATTCCTCAATATATATGGTGCTCTGGAGCCCCTAGCAGTGGTCGATAAATGCTATCATATATGCAATGCTTAATATAAAAATAAAAAAAAATGACATCAAACAAGATATAAACAACAGAAAAATAATGTTACTAACCTCAGATACTTGGTTAATTATTGAAAGAGTAGTCAGCATAGTTTCCAGGAAAATATGGGTAATATTTACTTCTAATCTTTTTAATGAAGTAATATCAATTACCATACTTTCTGGAACCGTTTGTTTTAAAGCCTTTAATATAGTAAGCAAAGTTAGATTATAAATCACAAAACAGTAACATTATTAAAATTGCAACATACATGAACATTATATTGCCAAGGCTCAATCAATGGTTCCCAATGCGAATTGGTAAGATTAAAATAATTAACATAAGTGGAAACAGCGACATCAACGCTAAGCTAAAATAAAGGGGTTAAAAACGCATAGTCAACAAAAAGTACGAGGAAAATTTAATGAAATTTAATTAATTATGATCAAGTCAAACCTGTGACGACCAATCTACAATCTCGATATCAACTTTGTCACAACTGCCGTCGATCATTGGTATGTCATGTTCGTCACCAATTAAAATAAGTCTTGCGCATTTTAATTTTACCTTAAGCTATATAAATTGTTAAAAGAATTATCGTGATAAGAATGGTTTATATCTCAACCAAAAATGAATAATTTACCGATTCTCTAGTCACAACCGGACTTTGTCGGGTTTTGGATGAATTACTGCCTTTTTTAGTTAAAGTATTATAATTGAATGTCCTTGATGGTGAGCTAATGGGTTGCATATTATTTATAGAAGTCTCGGCTATTGGTTCAGGTTTCTTTATTGGAGATGAAGGTTGAGAAGATAGTTCTGAAACTTTATTAGCAATGGATACAATAAGAAGGACATCTCTATAAGACACCCTCAAAATGAGGGGACCAATATCAACATTAATGTCTGTGAGTTGTTGTTCTGGTTTTTGGGATTTAGTTTCCATCGTTAATGATATATCAAAGTTATCAATGAATCGTAGGAGAGTAGATTCTCTTTTATCCATTTGACATAAAAACATCCCAACTTTACCAACTTTCAGTACCATTGCGTTTTGTTGTGTAAGAACCATTTTCTGTGCAGAAAGGACAATTGCTTCACTACTAGCTAGATGAGGATTAGCCAACAATATTATTTCAGCAGAATCGATTTCCACTTGATAACTCAATGTGGTTGTTGGTTTTGGCTGTGCAGCTACCGGTCTTGGTGGTAACATCGGAGGTTGGGTTGTTGTCGGAGAAGTTTTAGGTCTTGGAGGTTTCAAAGGAGGCGAAGTATCAGGAGACTGAGCTGGTGTAGCGTTCTCGTTAGATGGAGTTGGTGACTCAAAAGCACTCATGAAATAGTTACGAGTAGCGAATAAATGATCCAATGTTAAAATTATTTTAGGACTGATAACTTTAACAATAGCAACAATGTTTTTTTCGGGATCTCCAGACATCGAAAGTTCAATAACGAATTGTGGTTTGTCCGCATTAGCTGCAGGCAAAATTTCACGATAAACATTCTTAATGTTTGGACGTGTATCATTTAAAGTGAAAGATTGAATTCGAAGTTCTGCATTCATTGAATTATCACTCTTCATCTTATATTCGACTTTGGTTTGATTAAGTGAAAATCTCGACAAACTTGTAGAATCTAACGCCTTTTCTTCAGAGCCATCATCGGTAAAAATTTCCAAATAGATCTGATTCACTTCGAAATCAAGACTAATTGTTGTCCATGAATTCCCTTCAACTTCTACTTTTGAAGAAATCTCCTTAGTAGTGGAAATGTTGGATGGTTTACTTGGAAGAGTTTGAATAGGATCAATCGTTTTATTTCTCGCTGGTGTAGGAGGCTGCTCGCTTGAGCTGCTAAACGCTCGAGAAACACTATTTGAAAGATCATACAAGAACTTGTACTGTCTTTCGGTTAAATTCATTCGAACATCTGACATATTGCCGATTATCTTTGAAAAATTATGTAAGCATCAATTTTCAGAAAATAACGTTACAAAAGATAATCATTAGCCTTACCTTCATATCGGGCCCTTCTGAACCTACAGTATGTTCCGCGTATGAAATTTTAAAACTAATATCTACATCATTAATAATTTGGAGAATTTGTGGCGAAGAAGAATTTGGAGTCATAAAATTAGAAGTCAAACTAATTTTTTGGAGTTCAGCTGTGATCCGAGTAAGATAACTATTATTTCCATCTTTTGGTTCGAATTCGTTAGATGCCGAAAATTCACCAAGATTTGCGATAACCATATCTTTAGTATTAACATCGTGGGGGAATACAACAATAGGTGAGCGAATACTAATTTCAAAATGAAACTTTGAAGCTTTCTCTTGCAATTGTACAGCTTGTGATACAGCCGCCCTACGAGCGGAATCATAAAGTCCTTTCATTTGAGCAAATTTACTTCCGAAATCGAGCAAAAGACGAATAGGTTCCTCAAGAAAAGTTAGTTTTGCTGATCCAGTACGTAAAGAAACCGATGACTCATAACCAGGAAATCCAGGTGCTGATTCATCATAGGTTTCATAATGAAAAACAGCCAAATCTTCTCCTTGCAATGTAAGTAATTGTCGTAATGATTCATCACTATTCGGTCCCGCCATATCATCAGATAGAGAAAAACTTCCTAGTCTAGCAGCGACACGAATAGTATTTTGACGTAACAATACTGCTACATCCGCATGATACAATAATCCTGTTGCGAGCCGGACTCCATCATTATTTAAAATGAATCTTATACTACTGAGTCTTACTTTGACACGCATTGTCGATGCTTGAGATACCTGTGAGTTTTGGGATTCTGGTAGAGTAGGCGTTTCAGTTTCTACACTTGACTGTGAGGGGGCCGGTGCGGAAGAAGTAAATGTGTCCAAAACAAAGTTATACAATGTCAATAAACTTTTACGTGTCACAATTATATTTATGGTCGACATCTCGATATCAACACTTTGACTAATTCCTTCATGTTTGGACATATATTCAGGTGATTTCGTGTCAACTCTGGTGTATTTGACATGTACAAGATCTTTCGAATCATCAGCCTGAGCATTGCCATATCCTTCAGATGCAACCAAATGTTTAAATTCTGATCCTGTATCAGACATTTTGTCTTCAATGCTGAGAGATTTAAGCACCACTTCTGCCGACATGTCAAAAGGACGAAGTACATAAGTCAGGCCAAAATGCTCCAAAACCATATCAACTAGAATAACTTCTGGTTTGTCAACATCTGGATCCGCTTTTTTAAGTGTAGTTGAAAATTTATCCACTCTGAATTCAAATTCAAATATTCTTTGATTTAGTTTTGCTGTACTTGAGACCTTTGATTTTAAATAAAGTTATTACAAGTTTCGCAACCACAGTATAGTCACAGAAAGAAAGAATTACATACGTCTGTATCTTGCGCATCAAAAAATTCTTCATTACGTTCCTCTGGGGCATCATCATCATCACTACTCTCACTATCAATTAATATCAAACCTTGGGTTTTACCCAAACCTAACTTAGCAATCACATTATTGTCAATATGTCTGGTACGTTCTAAACCTCTACTTTTCGGGCTCTTGGTCTCCTTTAGGAGTTCGTTAGCTGCTTTAGCCATTGACATCTTTTCAGGTAAATTTATTTCAGGCGTTTCTGTTTTAGGCTCTTCTTTTGAGCTCGATGATGAAGATGATGAAGATGATGAAGATGATGAAGTTACAGTTTCAATAATGCTCATAATTATTTTGTATTTTCTGTCGGAAAAATTTGTTTTTAAAAGTGGTAAATGTCCAGAAACTCGAAACTTAGTGAGGTTATAGGCTCGTGGTAAAATTGACATTTCAACAAGAAATTGCAAATTTATTCGGTCTATTACGTGAAGATCATATTTGGGATCAGAATCACGAATTTGAGCTAGGCAACGCTCGACTGACTGACCAACAAGAAGCTAAAATGGATATATTGAAAGTAAACTTAATTGTTTGTATGATACGATTGTACATAATTTATGCCATAACTGTTAAATTTCATCTATGAACAAAAAATATACCTGTGTAGATGATAGCTGCACTGAAAAACGATCATACATTAATGATTCTAATCGTTTGTAATCAGCCTCACTATAGCTTGACCTAGCCTTGGAATGTATTTCTTCTTTATCAGCTTTGCTAACAAGCTTGCTTTCTACTCTAATATGTCCAGAATCTAGCACAATTACTTCAGTATCTGGTTTGGTACAGCTCTTAGGGATGATGATAATCGGAGCATTCATATCAATTTCAACATCAATAGTTTTATGCTCCTCCAATTTCATTTCTAGTACAGCCCTTGTTTGTGCTTTGAGTCCTTCAAATGTATCACTTGCCGCTTCCTAAAA